TGATGACAAGAATTCCTTACTTTATTCCAGATGGATGAGTGGCGACCTCGACCATCAAGTCCACACTTGTGTCAAATAACTCAGGATTGAGAACTGACTCAAACACCTGAGGTAAGACATCATCAACCTCAGTGATTGTTACTCCAAACTGCACCCAGCTAATCAAACATTTCAGTGCCTTGGAAGTGTTAAAAGAAATAATGTCAACACTACAAAACAACAAGAATTGTACCAGCCTTCCTTTCTCCCTGGGGAAGGGGAGGGGAGGGGTGGGGGTGGGATGGCTACACAGGAGAAAGCATCTTGTTCCAGGTGCCCCCCTTGCATTGCATAGTGTTTTTCGACAGGTCACTACTCTTACAGTGCCTCACTCCCCTCCAGATGGTTAAGATGGTACCAGCAACGATAATGCTGGGGATATATGCAGCCCTATGATGACTAGTATCCCATCTAAAGGGCGTTGGAACAGAATTGCTCCTAGTCCACAGACAAAAATCAAGATCAAGTTCTCAGACTGAAATTATGGGACACTTTGGTCCAATTCAAGCTTAGCAGCAAATCTGCTGCAATTACATGTAACATCATTTGTAACTGACAGTACCTGTTGTCGCACTTGTACTGGCTGTGATGATGACACATTCTGGTGAATTACTTGAAGAACTGCAGAAAGCCAACAAAAAAAAATAGCAAATAAGCAAATTAACCAAGAATATGAATGAAACCAAATGAAAATTGCAGTACGTGTAAACAATGATACATGAATTGGAAAATTCAAAACTAATTTTCCTCTCATCTTTCTTTAAGAATTGAAGCTACAGGGCATTGCTGCACCACTGCATACATACAAATACAGAACAAAATTGATTGACTGGGTTTCTACAAATGTAAAGAAACTGTTTGGTGGTTTTGACATCAAAGCTTATTAAGTACTATCAACCCTGGATAAAAAACATAAATAACTGTAGCAGAAAATTTCATAAAGAGAAATTCTGGCCTTTTTAAACCAATAAATAATAAAACATAACAGTCGCTACAAATGTGTACCTTGTGAGACTCCAGCCTGCAGTTCTCCTCTCAGAGTTATCTTTCTTCCTGGGACAAACTCTTCTGAATGAAACTGTTAAAAGCAATCGTACAGCTTACACATGATATACAATATACATATTTCATGAACATTGCTTTTAAACACATGCATGTGTATGTATGTTTCTTTAATTAAATAATAATATCAAAATACCATATGAACTTTGCAAAGCTTACAAATTTTCACTCTCCTTGTAAAATTTTTCCCTAATATTTTGCACTTCCTGGAAATAATCTTGTGTATTTACATTTGTCACATAAATTATGATCTTTCACTGTTTGTATTGCTTATAATGGGACTAAACAAAATATAAGCTGGGAAAGGCTAGTCACATCCATGGTATAAAATAAAAAAGTGTACATTCCGCATGTAAAGAGCTCTGGCAGGTAATTTCCATGCAACAATAGAGAATCTGTTTAACTTTATCAATGAAAACAATAATTTTTTTTTTTTTTCAAGCACAAACCTCCTCTGGCAGCACAGTAAGGACCTCAAGCATGACCATAGGCCAAACACCATTCTGGAAAGAAGTAAAGACAAGACTTCATGTTCATTTGTACAGTACTGTACATGTAGTTTAAAAATTTAACTTTTAAAACAAACCTCAGTTCTATGACAAAGAGAATTTTAATTTTAAAATACCCAATATATTTATAACTTGGTGCATGTATGAATAAGTGTAAAGATTTGCTGGCTGATTGAAATGAAATACAGTGTAAGTGGAAAAATTAAATGTTTTTCTCATGCACCACTGGGGCTTGGGAATAGGTCATGTGACCTCACCTCATCTTTCCCACCCACCCACTCCAATTTTATACATTAATTGGTACTTTTAAAAAACATTTTTTTATTAGTCTGTATGTACAATCCTTGCCATTTGTATCATTTTGAAAATTTTCAGTGCCTGTATACTGTTTTGCTGATAATGTTTGCAATTAAGGTCAGGTTGTGACAGTCACCCTGGCATGGCTACCAGTGGTGTACAAGAACATTTTATTTGTACCATGTACACTAGCTAACAAATTATCGTAACAGGAATTTACCTGTGATGAGTTTCTTGCATTCTGGAGTGTGTTTATGATGTCACTTACTGCATTTGACCAATGTTCTGGCATGGAGTGGAGAGCAAATGAAACAAGCTGAAGCAAAGAAAGATTCAAAACAATTTTGCCACAATAGCTTTCTAACACAGGAATTAAAATGATGGACTCCAGGTGGTGCACATTTATGAAATAATAATCAGATTAATAACGGTATGACATCCTTATGGGGACTCAGATTTTTTTTCTTCATCCCACACTCATGGCAACATTTCTTCTTTATCATTTATTCACTGAGCTGCNTTTTTTCAATGTCTGTAAGTACATTGAGCACCAATAAATACACTCAAAAGAGGATTTTATTATGTTTATTTCTAAAATAGGCTATTAAAAATCTAAGTTTGCTATAACAATTCACACCTTGTCACTTTGCATGAGTCGCCAACACAGTTGCCAAGCATGTTGTGATTTCTGTGTGGCCAGTAACCATTTGTGAGCGGTGTCTCTGTTTGCATGATCCTGTCCACTATACAGTGTAAATAATGCCTGCAGGTAATAATAAAAGTACATCCAATGAATGCCAGACATAACATGCACATCAAGTGTAAATTATTCCTAAATATTTCAAACGTAATTATTAGACCTTTTATCATCAAGAAATCTTATTATTTGTGAATCTAAACTGATGTTCTCTAAGCCATAATTATGTGTACTAGGTAAAACTTGCAAAAATAGTTCAAAATGTAAAGTACAGTGAAAACCCACCTTACAGCTATCCCATTAATATGGCCACCTTGTTATCGTGGCCACTTTATTCTGGCCCAAACCAAAAGCTCAGTCAGTCATTTTTGTATTTAAAGAACCCCTTTAATACAGCCACCCTATTAATACAACAACCCCATTAATATGGCCAGATTTTTGTGGCCAAATGGTGAGTGGATTAACAGGGTTGCTACTGTACATGTATATGAATTTCTCAAACTCATTAATAATATTCATCAAGTTTAATCAAAGGAAATCATGACTGTGAAGGTGTTTGGATATCTGATCTTAATTGGCATAGATTTTTACGATTTTATTTCTCCACTTTCTCCTCAGTTTTAGTTCGATTGAGAAGATATGTCAAACTCTCAAGACAGTGTTTGACCACATTTCCAAACACCTCGAAGTTCATCAAATATACTCCGCTACGTGTAGTATTTTCAACCCTATTCTCAGTGTTTGGAAATGTGGTCAAACACGGTCTTTTGTGTTTGATATATTACATAAAGATAGCTGAATTCAGGAAAAATGGCCTAGCTGAAAATGAGTTTCTCTGTAGCTCAGTGGTAAGAACACCCAAGCAGTACAGTGTATGTCTGAGATCATGGGTTTGAATCCCATCCGGGACTCAAAATTTTTTTCCCACACTCGCAACATGCTGAACATTACATTCATCTTTCAGATGGGTGTGAAATGTATGAAAAATTGAAATGTGGGGGGAAAAAAACCCGTTTTTCATATTGTTGGTGCTGAAAAAGACCCTCTGATAATGTACATGTCCAATTTACCTTCTCCCTAAAACCACCAAGAAAAATGTATTTGAACTTTCGAAAAAGAAAAAGAATTGTACTGTGGTTGCAAAGAAGTAATAAGTTGAGGGTATTTTTTGGCTATGTAATGGTATGGGTCTACTGAAAATTAAGCCACAGTAGATAATGCAATTGAATATATGAAAGATCATATATTTGAACTGTGGAGAGAGCTGTGAAAACACACAAATGACCATCGCAGTTATGAACACACTTCAAGCAGTTGTGAAATTAAAGCCTGGAAAAAAAATTCAGGCTTGAATTAGCTTTGCACAAATGTCACTGTCAAAGAAAGCAGAGAGAAGAGAAAGGGGCATTTTGAAAACTATCTGCAGATATCAACTTTTATTTGCGGATAAAAATAAACTAATTTCCTGCAGTCAGAGCATAATAAAATATTTTTGATTTTATATTTGTGGAGATATTCTTATCGTTAACAACACCAAGATTTACGCGCAGAAAATGAGTAAGCTTACATTCCAAACAGATTGAGTTTGAAAACTTCTAATCTTGTCTATTCCGCGTTCGATCGCAATTTCTAAAATCTAAATCCGCTACGATACGTAAGCTCGTAAACTTGCCTGTTCGCATTGAAACAGTAACGCCTGAAGTTCCTCTTCGCCGAAGTTCATCTTCCTTTACTCTACAGCAGAATCTTTGATGTGGTTTATTTTTTATCCGTACTCCATGATAACATGCTCTCTTTAATCGCTCTTAATCACTTTGAACTCGACCTGTCAAACTTCCGCCGCCATCTTTGATCTCTATGCGCAAATACCGTGACGCATCCTTTCATGAATATTACCGATGACCTATGCAATTGGGAGGCTCAAAATAGTTTAGTTACCAGTCCTCTGCAGTACTGCAACTCCGCTTGAAACAGTCATCAGCTGACTATCAGGACAAATTTTACCGGGTTGTCGGGAGAATTGTATTGCGAACACCTGAAAATCGCAATTTTGTACATCCAGTTTCGTTATGCTGCAAGAACACTGCAATGTTTGAAAAAAGCATGGATTCTGAGGTAGGTAGTAATAGGGGAGGGGAGGGTGCT